TCATTTTTTCACAAGCAGTTTTTTTCCTCTCTGAGGTCATGATCCTTGTAGGTATAGTTCAGTCCTCACAGGTTTCCTTCCCAAACTGGCTTTCCTACAGAGCACTTACATAGCAAGAAGCCAGCGTTGGGTACAGACTACACTATTACCCACATCCATCTCATTCGGGGAGGTATTCATGCCTAAAGAAGGTCCAGATTTTTAAAAACAAAATGCATGGCAATTAGGGGCTGAATATAATAGGCAATTTCTCATTTCAGTTTTGTAGGTTTTGTTTTTAACTGGGCTTATTTCTAGCAGGGGGTTGAAAGGCATGTAGATAATTTGCCTATGAGCAAGTGAGTGAGTTTCCATGCTTTAAACTTAAAAAAAAAATGTCTTATGTTGGAAGGATGGGGGAGAGTTGGGTGAATAGAGAATGATAGAAGAAAATACCTGATAAGGAAGGATGGGAAATTGTCCTGAGTGTCTATCTCTGCAGATGTAAAAGCACAATTTTGTAGCGTCGGACTGTGTTATTTGCTCTACCACCCACTGTAAGGAGCATTGCTATTGTATGTAACAGTTATACTGGGGAACAGGTGGAAAGGAATGGCAGAACAGTTGGGGAAAGTGGAAAACAAAAAAAACAGAGGCATTTCATACACTAAGGAGAAAGGTGGACTGATACATATCGCTATGTCCATAAATATGGGGAACCTAGATACAACCTCAGGGGGAAAAATCCTAATGCGCCCATCTTTATATCACTCCCCACCTCCCCCATCTTCTTTCTGGGAAGAGAAAGAACAGGAGGAGTCCTAGGTGGGGAGAAGGGGCATGTGGAATGTGAGGAACTGGCAGAGGACACTGTGTGTTTAGAGAGAAAAAGGGAAGAAATAAACTTAGAAAGCTAACCAAAAAGACCCTACAGTTTGGGTTCTGGCTATAGAACTGTCTCATTTTAAATCTCCAGAATTAAAGGCGAAAGACAACATCCTGTATATCTCTTCTCAAATTAGGTCATTTATCAATACCACTTCCTTTTGTCTTTAAATAGTAAACGATTTTTTTCTGTGCCTCCACATCAGTGCTCTCAGATGCACCAGAGACCATGTAGACAAGGGACAGCACTGGGAGTCGCTGGCCAATGAGAAGCCGTTGGGAGGAGTTCTGGGCCCAGTGGGAAGGTGCTCAGTGGGAAGGGTGTTGAGGTTGGCAACTGCTGTCTGCCCCTGACCTGGTTGGGAGAGCTGTGATGGGAGGAGCCTTCTAGGTAGTGCCATCCACACCAACAGCCCAACCCTCTCATTTAATTCGGGTTAGGGAGCATAGAGACATTGACCCAGTTGCCAAAAGCCACAGAGCTATGTAGCATTTCACTAACTTGTTATATTTTTTAAAAAAGTGTTGCATCAGGGAGAGAATGAGATTAGAGAACTAATGATTCTGAAAATAAAAAACTATCTGTCTCCAAGGCATTTAGAATGGAAAATAAACCCTCCTGAAGAGTTTTGTTAGACCCTTTGACAGAATTGTTAGGCACCCTGATTGGTGCTCTCCAGAGCCAAACACGCTCAGAAGCCCGGGGGCCTTCTCATCAGTTTCAGAGGTGTTTGCAAGTCTGTGGTGTCAGAGACTGTTTCTCCCAGGAGGAAAGTTTCCTTCATGCTTGGATGAGGGATAAAGAAGAAGGAAGAGATTTTAAGGTGTTATTTGCCTTGGATTAATGGACATTTAAATTTGGCTTTAGAATCTTTTGAATGATAGCTCACAAATGTTACTTTAGAAAAATTCTTTTCACAATATATTGGGGGGAAAAAAAAACACCCACAAAAATGTCCTAGATAAGATTTGGACATGGTTTTAACTAATCACGATAGCAGGCAGTAGTCTCAATTCCAGAATAAATGGCATATCATAACAAATCCAAGGAAAAGAGTTAAATCCTTTATCAGAGCCAAGCTGGAACTCTGGCCCCAAAATCTCTCCCTTCCTTGCCTGAGAATTGACTATTAAACATTCTGAAGGTATTTTTGAAAATAATAATATTTTTGGTTGCTATGTCATTTCATGCTTATTGTTGACTGATAATGAAAAAGGAAGGCTGGTGGTGAGAAGGGATTCATTGCAGCTGTGGAAGAAGAGAAGGGAGTGAAAGAAATAATGGGTCTCAGAGAGGAGCTATGGGAGTTTGACAGCCCAGAGGTGGAGTTCACTATCTCAAAGCTGCCTCTGACTCTAGAATGTTCAGCTGACCTTGGCCTTATATATCTAAAAATGCAACAACATTAAGTAGCTGATGAAAACCATCCTCTTAAATAAACCCTCAAGATGCCTTTGGAAAATAGCAAAGGAAAAAAAGAAAAGAGAAAAGCAATGTAAGAGCGTGTAGGAGTGCCTTCTCTCCAACATTTCTGAGAAGATGGGAGTTGAAAACCTCAAACAAAATGTTGCCCCAATCTCACTTGGCTAATTTTAGTTCTCTTGGTTCATGGCTATGATTCATCCCTAAAGCTGTGAATTGCTGAGGAGGAAGGAGGAAAAATTGACTTAAATGTCAGCGCAGTAGGAACAAAAATATAGTTTCTTTTTTGGAGAAACAGAATTCAAGAATATGGGGATTTTTTTTCTTATGAGGAACTAAATGCTTCAAACTTCTAGAAAAGTAATTATCTCCAGTCAAAACATTATCAAGGAATAAAAGACAGCATTAATTTTGAGTGAGGTCATATCCCAATTTTTGCCTGTGTATTTCCTTTTCTTCTGTATCTCTACAAATCCTATTAAACTAGAGATCACTAATAATCATATGTATTTGAGTATGATGGAAGCTTAATATGCAGACTGTAATGAGAGATGGTGCTTCTAATGCAGGTGAGGAAGAAATGGATGGAGATAAATATAACTATGAGAAATAAGTCTGGGGAATGGGATGGTAGCTTAGAAATGAAAGACATATTAGATTAGTCAGATGCTGTCTTGCCTGCTAAAGAATAGGCAATCAAGAAAAGGTATTTCAATTTAAGAGGTGTCCTCTAGTAAAATGGCTTTATTTCATCACTCAGGACCTAATGTGTCATTCAGCTGATGTGATAGTGTATCCCTACAGGTAAACTAATGGGATACTATGGAGGTGAATAGGTCTCTGGAGGTTGGAAAATTCCACGACTTGGTTTCCATATTAGGAAATTGATATCTTGAAGGTCCAAGTGACTTTCTTGCCCACAGCTTTCCTTCTTTTGCATCTTTTGGAAGATGTCAATGCCATGTCTATGACTATCTATTATTATCTCTAGTGGAGAGATACTTTAAAATCCATAGAAAATATTTGCCAGAGGGTCCTTAGCTACCCCCATTTCATACCACCTTAATCCACTGCCTTTATTACATATTCAGTTCTTTTCACACTGAGTATATTTCATTTTATGAGCTTCTGTGAGCTGTGCCAGAGTACAATGAATACCTGTTTCTGTTTTTCATTTCCATAATCAATTTTCCCCTTATGTGGAAGTTTTTGTTATGGGTTGAGTTGTGTTCCCCACATAGATATGTTGAAGTCCTAACTCCCAATACCTGTGAATGTGACCTTACTTGGAAATATGGTCTTTGCAGTTTAATCAAGTTAAGATAAGGTCAGTAGGGAAGGTCCCAACCCAAAGCCCCCAGTGTCATAAGAAGAGAGTCACTTGGTGACAGAGGCAGAGATCAAAGTGCTGCAGCTATAAGCCAAGGAATGCCAAGGATAACAGGTTATGAACAGAAGCTTGGAAGAGGCCAGGAAAGATTGTCCTCTACATGTTTTAGGAGTGAGGCTCTGCTGACACCTAGATTTCAAACTTCTAGTTTTCAGAACTGTGAAATAATAAACTCTTATAGTTTCAAGCCACTGAGGTCATAGTATGGCCTGCCTAGGAAATGAATACGTGCAGAAATAAAGGCAAGAAGGAGGGCAACTGGAAGCCAAAGGAAGAAAAGCTTCCTTTCTTGAGATGGTTTACTCATATCATTGGTTATAAGTTTTTTTTTTATGAAATGATCCATAGTGGTTTCACATGATTCATGAAAAAATATTGATGAGGGGACTATTCCTGTATATAATGTAACATATAATGTAACATGCTATTTAAATAAATTTCCATCATATAATGGTTGGTTTCTTTTCATTGTCCTAGGTCATAGTATAGTTTATTTTCCTTTGGAAAATTTATTATTTATTTATTGTCTTTTAATATCTTATTTTGTAATATATACAAATGCATGAATAGCAGTATGTATTTCCTCAAAACATGTAATCAAAGGCACTTAAAAACACAAATTATTCATAATATATTATTTAGGTCCAAATGATGAGCTACATGATGCTGTAGATTTACTTCTACAAATAAAATTAAAATTTAAAATTTCAATTTCAGTAGTTTATTTTATAAAGCTCTTCTCTGTTTACAAAGGGCACAACTGGAAATAAATATTACTTATATCATATTTTTCAAGACAAAAAAAAACATTTTAAAGTCCTACAAAATATATTGATTGACCAAATTTAAAAATGTATATCAAGAGCCTTCACATATCACCCAATTTTAAAACATGACCACATTCTATAAGCTTTCCCAGTATAATCTGGTCTCTTGTATTACTCAATTATCTGAAAAGGTCTTGTAAGGAAGAGATTCCTCATAGATTTAGTGGTTAAACAAATGTCCAAGAGTTGGGATACATGGATCTTCTCATTAACCAGAAATCTTAATTTCTTCCAGAAGCCAGTCTGGATTATTTTAAACTCTTCATCTTGGAGATTGGGGATTCAGCTTATATCCATGCATAGTACCTGGATGCCCATGTCTTTGAAAACAAGTCAAATCTACTGTCAAAATCAATAGACCAGTCAATGTAATACATTGCTCCACGTATAGAATGTTTTCTGTCCCAGTTATTCTAGGCATCACACAATCTGATTCTAGGTAATAATAATAATGCAAGGAACTGGACTACCAGACGTACAGTGTTAGAACACTTACTTGAGTGTGGTGAGTTCTGTAAGGGATGGCTGAGTAGCCTTGAGATAGCTTTCTCTTCGTGCAGCAACTTTGGGAGATGGCTTGGGACTTGTGTCCGAGTCACCACTGTCTTCGTCTCCCATGGCTTTGATATAGCTGCCACTCCGCATTCTTCGGCATGGAATTTCATCGTCTTTACCTCGAGGGGTATACCCTGTCCATTCATCCTGAGGAACCTATTCAGATATAGAAGAGACGATTCATTTTTTTTTTTTTTACAAAGCCCTACATTTTCCTTTCTTGGGGGCTCTGACCCAAAAACTTCAGACATTAACTTTTCAATAATGGTGTTTTACTATAACTGGTTTGAAAATAGTTTGAATGCATGGAAACCCATGTCTGAATCTTTAAAACAACCTGTGTATTAGGAAAAATGAATGTAATTGGCTCAGATTTACTTGTACCTCTCAGTTTTCATGCTGAGAATAATTGAGTCAGGCATAAGAATGCCATTGGAAAGGAGACCGGTTTTATTAGAGTTTTCAATTATTTGTTTTCAACTGTCATTTAAATTTTTTAAAAAAGTTATTTATTTATTTATTTATTTATTTATTTATTTATTTATTTATTTATTTATTTATTTATTTTTACTACATCTTCCTTGAACTCTCAACTCTACTATCTTATATCTGATCTTTCTTCTTCTTCAACCAGTGGTCTACTAGTATAACAGCTGCACTGACTTCCCAATCACCTGTTCTTTCTGAACCCTCTTAATTTGGATTCAGCCTTCAAATTAAAGGTTACCAATGACCTCCTCATGAAAGCTAGTGGCATTTTCTTACTTTAAATTATTTTTTTTATTTACACACCCACACACATACCCACACCCACTACCACCACCACTAGCACCACTACCACCACCACCTTAAAGAGTTTCTCTACTTATCTGTGATAGCTATTACTGTACTTATCTGAATTGTTCTTTCCCTTTTGCTTTGCTGGATCCTATTCTAAGTCCCTAACTGTGGGTACCACACAAGATAATGTTCTCAGTACATTCCACAGCCATTCCCTCTGAGTTCAGCAGAGCACTACACTACAATATAGAGAGCTTTTTTTTTTTTTAATGACTTTTCTTTGGTTGCTTTTAGATTTTCCACTTCAACGTGGACTCAACTTAGGTTCTCATTTCTTCCTCCACTTGGTAAAAGACATGCATAATTACCAGTCTTTATACGCATTAAGAAGTAACAGCCTACAATGCACAGGGCTTAATTTAAAAAGAAGGGGGAGTCTGGTTCTTGCCCTCAACATGTTTGCAGCAGAGATGAGAAGACAAAGCATAAATAAATTTGAGAACCATTCCAAATCAACATGTTAACAGGTTTAAGGTAGGGGCCATAAATGGAAACTGGCCCAATTTGCAATGCGAAGTTAAAAAGGTATGTAATATTTTGATGCTAAACATTTACTGATTATCCATTAGATAATACAGTGTACATTACTAACATTTAACTATGCTAAGCAATTTGTTTATAGGGTTTCATTAATACAACAACTCAGTGCATTTTTCATCATTTCTGGAATGAGAAGCAGGAGCTAAGATAGCTTAAGAAATTTGCCAAAGAACACATAGCTACTAAATGGCAGCACTGGGAGCTAAGCATTTTGTTTAACACAAAAGATAATAATTTAATTACTCCCAACATATGGATCTTAACTCTTAAGCATTAAGAAAATTGTCTACAATGTTACATACAGGTATTATACATAGATTTATAGATGTTATACCCATTCTAAGAAGTGAGAATAGATGTTCCACTTCTTTCTCTCTTAAGTTATGAATTTGACCATATAATTTGAAAGCTTATGACTAGAAACATCAAATTAAAGTGTTACTACCATTCATGGATCTGAAGACAGTTGTTTATAAGTTCTAATCCTGAAAAGACTATAAAAGTATGATTAAGTTTCACTGTGAAGCTTGTTTATTTTATTAAACTAATTCTTAAATCATGCTTTCCATATGCAGGCACTGTTCTAAATGTTTTAGAAATGTTAATTCATTGGATCCACACAGCAGAAGGGTAGTATTATTGTTATCTCCATTTTACAAATGATGAGACTGAGGTTCTGTAACTGACTCCAAGCCCTAGCCATGAAGGGCAGGGTTCCAGCTCACAGCTCGTGGGCCTTGCGCTTGATCACTGTTTGATGCTGTCTCTCTAGGCTATGATCAGTAGTTCTTAGGGAACCGAACACTTTATGGTCCCATGGCACCTTCATAATCCATCATATCTGATACATTTGCCATTTATCACTTATGGTAGTAACAGTGTAGAGTTTTTATTTTATTTTTTCTTTTAGCTAAAAAGCATCAGTGTCACTATAGCAACAGGGGACATTTCTTAGGGATATTATAAATGCTGAGAACAGTCTTGTTTTTCCCTTCAATTGGCAGATGACTCACCGCAAAGATATGATCATGTTCAGAACCTTATTGTTGACTTAGCAGATAATATTTTACAAATTAAGTTAGTACAGCTGAGGGTCATAGATGTGCCCACGACATTGCCATTTCTCAGTATTGATGTGCAATTCATAGGCATTACCCTTGAGAATATGTCAGAGACTAATGCTATCTTAGCTCACATCACTTATGAAACAGAACATGGGAAATTTCTGATGAGGTGTTTTCTCCAAAATCAGTTTATGATCGAAACTTAGACTTGGAGTAGAAACAGGCTGTGATTATTGATAAAGGAATCAGCTAGGTAGAATTTAATCAGCATATCTTTCAATTAAACATTGTTTTCAAATGACTACAGCTAAAAAAATTGTATGTAAGTGACTTATCTTGGAATGGAATTTAAAAATTAATATGTGATTTATACACCTAAACATAGCCTAGAACACAATTACATATAAAAATGCATAAATCAGTTCTAGGAAAAATGTAAAAACAAAAATGAAAATAAAGACCTTGGAGAAGAAAAATACTGTTACTGAAGTTTAAGAGCCAGCAAAATTGTTCTAATTGCATCACAGTTTTTATTCTGAGTCTCTTACATTCTAAAGTAAAGGGGAAGACAGTGGTTGGGTACATAATTTTCAAAGAAAGCATACAAATTTGTAAGGTGTCTAGAGCATGACATTATCTCCTTTTGATTGAAAAGAAAGGAGACTCATGGTTACAGCTACTATAGTGATCTAGTCAAAGGTTGCTATGTCTTCCTGCTTCAGTTGCACAGGGAAAAAAGATTTAGGGAAATAAAAAATTTAACCTTGCAACTGCCTGCAAAAGCCTTTATTATTACTAGTGCCAGCAGTTTAAAGAAATGAAAGTCAATAAGAGAAGGAAGTTGCAGCAGATAGGAAAGCATCCTGGTCAGCTGTTCTGCTTGTCTGCACCAGTTTAGGAGGTGATTGGATCCAACAAAACCCGGCTATAACAAATATGTAATAAAGGCTAAGTTTGACAATAGTTATGACAATAGTTATGGGTTAGAGAAAAAGAGGATCATTAGCTTTTTTATGCTTGAGTATTAAAATACCAATGGAGAGCTTTATTTTTTATAAAATGAAATGAAGATTACTATTTCGATTATAGCCAGTCTGTAACTTAAACCACATGTCATCATTCAGAAGTACAGAAGACCTGCTTCTGATCTAGGAATGGCCACAACCAGTGCTATCATTCTCTTATTAAAGGATGAGGATGCTTTATGAACTGAAATATCGATAGAGTCGTGGTCACCGAGTGATAGCCACTCAAATGACAGCTTCAGTCTATTCAGTCACAGAACAAGGAAAAATTAAACACAACATGATGAGGCATGCTTTCATTTCCTAAGTCTCCCTCCCTTTCTCTCCTTTGCCTCTCTCCCCCCTTTTCATTTACCCTTGCAAGTATTTTTTTTTTTTTGCATGTTTATTTTATGGCCATTGTCTGCGTGCCAGGAATATGCAGCAGTGAACAGTACCAATGTTGATCCCATGTTATTGAGCTAACATTCGATAAGGAGAAGAGCGAGAGACAGATAATAGACCAGTACACAATACAGGAACAAGGTAATTTCTGAAACCATAAATGCCTTGAGGAGAGCTCGGGGAAGGACTTCCAGGCAGAGGGATAGCCAGGGAGAAATCTCTAGAGTAGGAAAAAGCTTGGTATAATCAAAGCCTAGGAGACATATGCCAGCTTGCGAGAGCTCAGGGAGCAAGAAGGGGCAGGACAGGTCTCATAGGTCCTCCGAAGCGCCCCCTAAATTTCTCCTCAAGGCTTGATTCCCATAGCTCCCACCAACTGCTCCAATCTGAACTGATCTCCTTTATGAAATCTATGGCATAGATTATCTACATAAGGGTCAGCAACCTGTAGCTCACAGACTAACTCCAGCATGCCATTTCTTTGTAAATAAAGTTTTATTGGCATATGGCCATGCTCATTCATAACATATTGACCTTGACTAGAAGGGCAGAGTTGTGATGGAGATTGTGTGGCCCAAACCAGATCCACATGTTCCACCTGAGTTCTCTGGCATTTGTGTACACTACTTGTTTGTGTTTTTGTGTCATCTCTCCAAATATTCAGTAAATTCCCTGAACCTGGGGGAGTGATATTGCAGAAAGGTCAGTATGTGGGCTGTGCAGTTAGACTGCCCAGGTTTGAATTCCCACTGGGCCAGTAACAGGGTACTTCCATGGTCAAGTTAATTAAGTCCTCTATGTCTCAATTTCCTGGTTCATTCTCCCCTCCACAGAGTTATTTGTGAATTGCCTGAGGTAATGCCCATAGGCATACAGGAAGTGCTCAAGGAAGGCCTCTGTTATGGGAGTTGTGCATGACTCCCAGCATGCAGCAGGGCACGGAGCATGTAAATGCTCTCTGATGATGGATGACATTGGCTTTCCAAGAGGTCTGATGCTATGTTTGGTTTTCTCTGGTAACGGAGGGGCAGAAATCATTGAAATACAGTAATCAGAAACTTGAATTTCTAATATATTGTCTACTCCCATCATTTTTGAGGGAAAGTCTCCATCAGGAAGTATTGCACAGTTCTTTGCTCTGGGACTCATCTCTATCCTGTAGGACTAAGGGGGAACTTGCTTCCTTGGGTGACTTAGCTTGCTGGCTTCCAGGTGATCAGATCTCAAATGCCTTCTTCTAGTTGCCAAGGTAGAATACTTTGGTATTTGTATTTTTTAGAAACCTAGGGCTGAGACTTTTGCA